AGCCCGGCTGGGGCGCAGAAACCGGGCGCAGGCCATCCTGCCTCCAGCCTCCGGGATCGAGGGGGTATCTCTGTAAGTGCACGTTGGCGCAAACAAAAGGCCCCGCGGGACTCACTGACCCAGACAACCTGGACTGCAGAGACCGCTCTAACCCGCTGCCTCCTCCGGCAGCGGCCGAGACCAGGCGCGCTTACAAAGGCATTGGGTTGCCGGCCAGAAAGCCAGGAAGCCTCCGATCAACAGAGCCAGGGCAGCGCCTGCCTCCCACTCTCCGAGAGCCTAGCAGGAGCTGCTGGCTCCTCCGAACACATCGGGAACCGGGAGCCGAGGGAGTGTGACGTCCCGAGAGGCCCGGAGCCACCTGAGCGTCAGTCATTTTGAGCGCCTTGGCCAGGGCGGCGCGCTCGGCGGAGGCCAGGTACTTCTGGCGGTGAAAGCGCTTCTCCAGCTCGCAGATCTGCAGGCGCGTGAAGGACGTGCGCGGCTTCTTCTTCTTGGGGGGCGTCCGGTTCTGATAGGGGTGACCTATACGGCGTGTTACAGTGAAGGGTGAGAGGGCCACTGGAGCGGGAGACAGACAGACGGCAGAGGCAAGCGGCAGAGCGTCAGGAGGCGTCCCAGGCCCGACACCCCGCGACTCAGCGAGCATAGCAGCTAGACCCCCAAATCAGAGCCGATTGGGGCCTCGATCCTCCCTTCAGCCCTCAGCTCCAAGCCGGGGCCGGAAAGGGCCCCCTCCCGCCGCCAAGCTGCAGCCGCTGCTGCCACCACGGAGGCCTCCCCAGTCCTGGACTTCCACGTGCCCGACCAGACACTATACCACAGCCACCTCCCCAGTCTCCCTGAGGCAGCAGGAGATGGCAGCCCCCTAGGGCCCCCCACAGCTTCCCACTGCCCCAGGCCTCCAGCCTCAGAGAAGCTGCCCAATAGTAAGAGGCTGGACCCTGCCTGGTCCTGACATAAACCTCCATCACACAGCGATGTACCAGACACATCACATACAACAGTGGCAAGTTACAGATCTACACATCCAAACACGCCAGCAGACAGGCACAGGCACTCAGGCAGACACGCACAGGACATGGCAACACAAGGCAGTCATATACTCGTTCCGGACCTTCCTTAGGCCTGAAGGACGAGGAGATGCGCTGTGGCTCCCCTAGGTAGGCCTCTGTGAGGTACCTTTCAGCAGACCCAGGATTAGTGGGTTCCAGGTTGGGGCTTCCCTCAGAGTCCTTCCCTCATTCCAGCGCGGAGAGAACTTGGGTTGGGGCAGTGGAGCCCCTTGAGTACAGGGCCCTTCCTAGAGCCCCAAAGTGGAGTCGCTGTTCTGCCTCCAGGAATCTTCCCTCCCCTCAAAAAAACTTTTTGCCACAGACCTAGAGTCTGAGCCAAGGTTGGAACAGGAGCAGGGGGGCCTGGGGTGCCCTAGGGTCTCCTGGTCTAGGGTCTAGCTCTAAGCTGCCTACCCCCCTTTCACAGTTGGGCGCTGGAGCCCAAACCCCGCTGGAGTCCCGGCCTGTGCCTCCCTCCTCCTGCTCCAAAGGCCTGTCCGGAACCCAGACTCCACTCGTGGCTGCTTCGCTGCTTCCCAGCGGGCGTGGGGGCCTGGCTGGGCGGGAAGATAATACTCTCAGATGCAGGGGATGCCAAGGGAAGCGGGAAGTGAAGCCGGGGAAAGGGCCCGCGCCGAGCCAGGGCTGAGCGCCGACAGCGGAAGCCGGGGCGCAGAGAGCCGGGACTAACGGAGGAAGGCGGGGAGCAGGCGGCGGAGAGGGCGGCAGCCGGCGCCGCGGAAAGCGCAATCGTCCCGGGAGTAGTCCTTCGGCGGCCAATCGACCCTGGGCCTGGCCGGTGCATTATTTACAACGGAGGACCGGGGGTAGGAGGTGGAGAAGGCCGAGCCCGGACAAAGCCAGGAGGAGGAGGTGGGGGAGAAGGCCGAGTCCCGACAGAACGAAAATGAAGCGGGCGGCTCAGCCTCACACTGCCACCGACCTGGGCGCAGCCCGCAGTTCGGGAAGAAAGGCCGCCAGCTCCGCCGCT